AACTACTACAGCACAAACCACAGTGATGGAGCAATTCCCTTCCTTCCCTCCTCCTCCCCCCCCAGCTCTCATAAAAATCTTCTTATTTCATCAGGCAAATTCACCTCAGCTGAGTTCTGACCTTCCTGCCTGCCTAAGAGGCTCTTCTAATCAGAGGTCAGGTAGAAAAGATGCCCTCCTTTAATGGGGTAAATGTAATTCAATTCAATTCCAGTAAGGCAAGTGTTTTGTTCAGAACTCAGTAGAATCCACTTTATTTTGGAGGTAAATCTTTCATTTATAATGCCTAGTAAAACACTGTGGACAGTGTTTATGACATCAGAACAAAACCACTTTTAAAAATCATTAAGCAAAGGCAACCACTGTKAGAGGATTAATTAGAAGATGCAGAGCAGGTGATCTTAGAAGCCTAAGATTACATCAGTTACAGGCTGACTCATTCTTCTGGATTACACGTGTATGTCTTGATGTTTACAGTGGTAGAAAGCAAAGTAGCCAGGTTATTCATAGATACCTACCTTATGATTTATAATGTATTCCAGTAGCCACGAATTAAAACCATTCTATCCAATCAAATTAAGAGTCATTTGAAATCTCTTTCAAAATCTAAGCATAACCATGCAACAACTTTCCTCCACTCCTTTTGATTGGGCTGTAAATGACTCCAATTAGTATTGTTTTACTCTTCCAAAGCCCAGCAGCCTTATTCCACTGTGCAATGTAAACACTAGTGTACACAAACAACACCATAAACTGCAGAGTCGATGTCATGATCTCACCCACACACGTGTTGGCAATCTCTAGAAAGCTAACGCAGAAGTAGGCAAAATGCTTGGTGTGTTTTTGGCTTTCCCAGTTCAGTTCTTCCAAGAGCTTGACTCAAAGTAGCTCTTTGTCTTTTTTAGAGTCATATTTTGGCTAATCARCAGCTATCTCTGGAATGAAACCTTGGCTGAAATGAGCCTATTAGCCTTCCTGTCACAGTATCTAATCTGGTTCAAGTGAAAAACAAATACACGAAGACTAGAACAATGTTTGCCTGTTAAAACAACCTAGATGAAACCAGCATAGGAAGGAAGGAACAAAGAGCTCAGGTATTTTTACATGGTAGAGTTGAACRCAGGTGTTACCAAAGCCACAGAGCTCCGCACACTGAACTTCAGAATGGATGCACTTGTTCAGGGTCAGGGGAAATGTTTAGTAAGTCTTAAGCTTATTACAGCACGGCCTGGAAGTACCTGGGATGCCTTAGACAGAAAGACCCAAGAGGCACTGAAGATTTTCTGCGGATTCCTGATTCTAGCCAGCAGAGAGGAGTTCAGGCAACCTCTTACAAAGACTGACACCTTGGTTGTTCCATCTGAAGCCAGCAAAGACCACCAAGAGACCAGAGCTGCTAGAGAGAATTGCAGAGGGTCACAGAAAGCTATTTGATGTGCTTTGCTGTCTCAACTTAATGAGATCTAAGAAATTAATCATTCTAATTCAACCACAAGATGAGTGCAGATAGCGAAACAACTCTGCTTAAATGCCCTGAGGGTATCTTTGATAAGATAGCTAACTTCCAGTGTGAAGTAATTACAATCATTTCCAACCTACCATAGTGGCCATGAGAAGTACTGTGCGATRTATCAAAGCCAAACAGAAAATCAGTGAGGGAAATAAGGAAAATGGCATAAGAAAGCAAATATATATCTTAATTCTCTCTTATGGGCAGACAACTCCCCTATCAATAAACAGTGCAAATGTTGCACTCATATTAAGCTGTTGTCCTAGCTTGTCCTAGAATAAAACAAACTGGAGGTGCCAKTGTCCTAGTAAGCGGGAGCCTTGGCAGGGCTGTGCCGTGGCCTTCCCTTCGTGGCAGACACCGGTGGAGCTGGCCCAGTGCTGGGCCACTGGCAGGGGAACCACAGAGAGCAAGCAATGAGCCAGCACTTTTGGGATGAGATCTTATTCCTTGGAAGCTGACAAATCCTCACCTGTCTCAGCCTCGGGCTCACACGCAGCAGAAGGAGCGAAGCCACCGGCAAAGGAGCCGCCTCGTGTCCTCGTCTCCAAGAGCTGCAGACTCTTCTCTGTCCGAAAGAGCAACCCACATTGCCGCTCCACTGCAGCAAGGTCCTCTTATCCAGCCTGGATAAGGACCCACTGCCTGGCACATAGTGAATGAAAAGGTTTTGTTGTGCTTCACAGGAGTACATATTCACTGCTTCTATCTGATCTTTGAGAGTCTTTCATTATTGGGAATGTTTTTCAAGGATTTTTTTTTCCTACAGTTCCCATTTTTTACCAGCAGGTTTCATTTTATTTTTTTGGATTTAAGTCATGATGTTTTACGTTGCTGAAGTGGCAATCAGATCTTTTCCTTTCTGTGCTCATTCTCATCCAACCCCAGATTCCCATTACCTGCCAGCTAGCCTTGCCTGTACATGGGTTCCACCACTATCAAAGTCAGACCCATCCTGGCACCCCACCAGCCCTCCCTCCTGAGAAYAGAATTTCACACATAAAAGCAAAATTACCATCTACAACATCCTCTTCTTTGCTTGCACTCTCCCCAGAACGGGAAGAAGATGAAAACACAACTTCCTCTATGAGCCAATGGCACTTGTAGGGCACGACAGTTTTGAAGCGTTCTCTTTATTAGCACTGCTGCAACGACTTATGAGGAACTTCTGAATGTCTTGCGACATAAACTTGACAAGGAAATGGAAGACTAAATTTAACACTGGTAACTGAAAAAATAGACATAGGGGAAAAAATCCCAGCAGTTAAAAACACAATGTCTGGCTTGCATGGTCTTGCAAATTCAGCTTCAGCTGAATATCCTGTCTTTGACTTAGCATCATACTTTATGGAACAGCTAGAGTCACTTCAATAAAATGACTTCAGTCTAGCAACTTTCTGGAAATTATGAAAATGCAGAAGGCATAATTCTGTTCTCACCATAATTTGCAACATCACTGAAGCCACTCAGCAGATGAGCAGGATCCTTCAAATTCCAAGGCTGGGTGAATCTCCCCATCAGGAGATAGGTGTGAAGTCCAAAAGAGGACTCCAATCCACGGAGCCACGTGCATTTCTAAAGGCTCACAGATGTACACCTTGCCCTCCCACTCCTGCTCCTGCCAAAATGCTCTGTGTGCTATACCTCACACTTCTCTCTTTGTCCAAGCAATGGCATACACATCTGTAAGAAGGACATCAGCTCAAATATTATTGGGAGGGCACCTTGTAACTTTTTAGTGTAGGCCTCACCATTGGCATTTGTCAAGATTAAAAAAGCACAGCTTAGTTGCTCTAACCCTTCTACTTCAGAGCAGGACATGCATTTGTATAACAATTTGCATAACAAATGCATATTCGCRGCTATCTTCTCTTCTACAGCAGTGAGCAAAAGAATCTGTCTTTTTCCACTTCCTTTTCTTAAATTCTAATCAACGAAAGATAAGATTTTTTAATCATTCTTCATCTTTAACATACTGTTCAGGACTAAATATTGCAATACTYAGGTAGCAGAAGGAACTAGGACTTTCACAATTTCCCAGACCCAAGTCACAGAAATTATGATTTTTTTTTCCAGTTTAGTCTTGCCCTTATGCAGCTTGATTTTGAAAGCACTCTGCTATAAATATAACTATATTGTGTAATCCTGTTAGAAGTCAGGAGTATTTAGACACTCAAACCTCAACAAAGGAGTCAAATAACTGCAGTCATTAGATGCTTTTAAAATACTTCCGATTTTAGAGTCAGAGAAAACTATTGAAAAAGACACCCAAAAATGACATATTGGCTGTGTCCACTAGGTGTCATTTTTGCTCACTGTTACTCTCTTGCTGGAGGTTAATTACAGTAGGGAGAAGACAAGTATTGGGATCAGTAAGAGATACAAGACTGAACGGACACAAGGCTGAAGTATTTTTATGACTCGGGCTTAGCTATTAGGCAGACCCTGCAATTTGGATAATCATATGCTCAATCTCTGGTATATTAACATAGTGCCCTGCCTCTGAACCAGCACATCTACAGAAATCTCAGCCTGATGCTACTCAAAAATCATTTCTATGCATCTTCCTTGCTTTCCATAACTCCAGTGAAGTTGAAAACTTGCATGACTGATCTGCAAACTACAACTGTATATACGGAATTTCTACTCAAATGCCTTCACTGCTTTTGAACAGAGCTCACAGGAGCATCACTTACATGCAGAACAGACACAATCCTAACAGACATCTCAGCCTTAACAGATTACAGCACCAGAAAAAAAAATGCATTTGATCTTCCCAATAATGGACATTGTTGTTCATAAAGACTACCATGTGAAACAAGCTTTGCACTGTGCATCCAGTCCTGCTTTGGTGAGCCGAGCCCACCCAAGCCCTGAGTCCTCCAGACACCAGCTGTGCAAACACCACAGCACAGCTGGGCAGCTTGCAGCACTGTTGCTGCACATCTCATGYTCCTTACTAGAGAAGCAACTAGAGAAGATATCATTTTGATGGACTTGACTAGTTTCTCCATGGCAAGCAGATCATTATATTCTAAAACATGTTTTTCACTCCAAATAATTTAGAGAATGTTATTGCTTCTTCTCTCTGTTGCATAGATGACTCACAACTGCTTAACAGCCATATGATAAGAATTACAGTCATGTGATAAGAATTTCATCAGCTCTAACTATATAATACTGATTCTGTCCCCTAGCTTGAGGAATTCATGCAGCTAAGAGTGTGAATTTCAAATACACAATATTAAATTAACCATTGSAAAATATTTCTGTGCATGAGTGAGCTTTGCATGAAGGCCCAACACAGTCATGACTGTGTTGACTGGAAGTCATTTTCATTTGAAGAGCTGGCATTTTTTTCCAGAGTGGRATTCACATCCTCAAGTTGTGTTGGCCAAAATTAACGAAACTCAAAAAGTTCCTGAAGGAACCTGCCACTTGCATAT